GGAGGCTGACGCTGTTTCTTGCTTAATTATGACTCACTGTGGACAATCCCAAAGCAACATGACATGTAAAAACACTCTTCATCAAAGACAACAGGCTAATTATAATACCAATTAAGGTCAACAGATTAACAGCCAAGCAGTAATGGCATAATTAACTTATGGAATTTGCTGGCCCAAGACGTGACAGTGCCCACTTGCCTCAGATGGCTCTTTCATAGCAGAACTGGCCAGCCTTCCCCAGCCTGGCTCTGACAAGATGCACTGGACTGCAATTCCCATCATTCCCAGCCAGCATGTTGGTGGGAACAACAGAGGAGGGCTACTATCCTCAGGCAGTGCTTCTGAACTTCCAGCAGCATTTGGTCAGCTGCTACAGGAAACAAAACAGACCTCGCAGCCTTGTGCTGCAGGTTATGAATGTCCCTGTCGTTTCAGTGGGTGCTTAAGGTGGGTGTTGGGGTGGGACCCCATCCAGCGAGAGCTCTCCAGGCACGAGGAGTGCAGGGGCTGTCCCAGGCCGAAAGCAGAGCCGAGCCTGGTGTCCGCTCAAGAAAGCTGGACATCTTGCGCTGTGTTCTATCCCCCTCCAAAGAAGTTTGAAAACATGCACTCATTTGAAAAAGGCACATAGAAAGAGATGCATAAAATGAGCACAAAGGCACTTTTGTCAGTACATGAGTCCAAAAACCATTTACTTTGAAAAATGCACACCAACAGTCTGACATTGATGCATGTCAGAAAAACGTGCATGGCGTTTTGTTCAGATTTGACACCCCACTGCCACAGAAAACCTTCCAAAGCAGAAGCTGATGCCTCGATGGGGAAGGTGGTCTTGACATCAGAAAGCAAGACAGATTTGCAGCGTCTATCCTGTCCCAAAAGGACTGCGGGGTTAGTGTTCTTGTGCCCCCTCCTCTTCACCTCCACATCGTTGCAGAGTGAAAACACAGGGCTGCCTGCAGCGCTCAGAGTTACACATTCTGCCTGCTCCTTCCTGATCCCTTCAATCTAAGTATGGCCAGTCACCTGATGCACTAATCCGAGGGTTGTGTTGCCCTACCTGGTCAGCAGCTGATCTGATCCCATTAGCAATTACAGCTGTGGGTGGGGCAGCTGCCAGGTCTACCAGATCAACGCTGGGGGGCTTAATGAAACCCTGAGATCTGCCGACCAGAGCCTGGGACAAAAGGCATACGGTAAAATCAAAGGGTGCGAAGCCCAAGAATTTGTTTGGAATAGGGGATCCAAAACCGAGTGCAGCTCACGGTCCTCCTGCACATACTTCAATCCCTCCTGGTCACCCTCAGCTCGCTTCATTTCAGCAGTGCCACTGTTAGCAGGGGGTCATTTTACTCTGCTCTGGGTATAAAACCGAGAGTCAGAAAACTTTGCAAATTTGCGGGAAATTGCTCAGAGATCTACCAGTGGATCCGTACCAGGCTTCTGTCTACCCCAGGATTAGGAGACTGTTGGCAATTGTCTGGTAGGTGCGCTAATATAGGATCTGCCCCTGATATAGGGGCACCCAACCAGAGAGGCTGCAGAAAGCAACAACCACTCAAAACAACACTGGATTTCCATGAATCTGTCCCTGCAGAATCCAAAGATGACCAGCTTTCTGGAGTCATGTGGACTCCATGAACTTGCAAACCATTTTTTAAACTTTCCCTGTAGAGCACATCATGCGAAAGGCTGGGCTAGATGAATCACATGTTGGAACTAAGATTGCCAAGAGAAATATCAGCAACCTCAGATATGCACTCTCATGGCAGAAAGTGAAGAGGAACTAAAGAGCCTCTTGATGCGGGTGAAGGAGGAGAGCGCAAAAGTTGGCTTGAAACTCAACATTAAGAAAACTAAGATCATGGCATCCGGTCCTCCTTCCTGGCAAATAGATGGGGAAGAAATGGAGGTAGTGACAGATTTTATTTTCCTGGGCTCCAAGAGCACCGCAGATGGTGAATGCAGCCAAGAAATTAAAAGACGCTTGCTCCTGGGGAGGAAAGCTATGGCAAATCTAGACAGCATACTAAAAAGCAGAGACATCACCCTGCCAACAAAAGTGCGTATAGTCAAGGCTATGGTTTTCCCAGTTGCAATGCATGGCTGTGAAAGCTGGACCATAAGGAAGGCTGAGCGCCAAAAAAACGGAGGCCCTTGAATTGTGGTCCTGGAGGAGACTCCTGCGAGTCCCTTGGACTGCAAGGAGATCAAACCAGTCAGTCCTAGAGGAGATCAACCCCGACTGCTCTTTAGAAGGTCATATACTGAAGATGAAGCTCAAATACTTTGGTCACCTAATGAAAAGGAAGGACTCCCTGGAGAAAAGTCTAATGCTGGGAACAATAGACAGCAAAAGAAGGAGGGGACGGCAGAGGATGAGGTGGCTGGATGGAGTCACTGAAGCAGTCGGTGTGAGCTTGAGTGGGAGATAGTGGAGGACAGGAAGGCCTGGAGCAGGGGTCCTCAAACTTTTTCAACAGGGGTCCAGTTCACTGTCCCTCAGATTGTTGGGGGGCCGGACTATACTTTGAAAAAAATACGAACAAATTCCTATGCACATTGCACATTAAAAATAATTAAAATTTAAAAAAAATAAAATTAAAAAAATAATTAAAAAATAAAAAATGTTTGCTCCACTCGCTTGGGCTGCAGCAGAAGCCCAACATGAGGTGGGGAAGAGCATGTCCATATCCAAGGGATGTAGCTACAATGTCTGTGATCGTGCTGGGTGGCAGGGGGGAGACGGACATGATCGCTCTCCCCACCCCAGCACGATCGTGGCCATCTCCCCCTCCCCCAAGCATGACTGCGATCACGCCTGTCTTCCCTGCACGAGCGCAACCGGAGCGTGGCCATCTCCCCACTGAGTATGCCTGCGCCAGCTCAGAAATCATTTTCTCCAAGTGAGTCCAAAAGCTCTGAGGCGGGCTGGGTAAAGGAACGTGGTGGGGTGTACCCGGCCCGTGGGCCGCAGTCTGAAGACCCATGGCCTGGAGGAAGGTTGTCCCTGGGTCACAATGGTCGGACGTGCCTTCGCAACTAGCAGGCCAGCCAGCAGCAGCGTGCTGCTCCAGTCTGCAAAACTACAGAAGGTGCACGCGTCTTTGAAACAACAAGGAGAGGATGCTTCTTGTGTCTCTCCAGCCTTTGTTATCCGTCCTATGCTCACTGGGAAGAGTAAGCAAGAGGTTATGTGGCCACGAATGCTCCTTGAAGTCTCGTGGATTTCCTGGCACCCTTTGCCAGAGGCAGAAAAAGGTCTCTGTCTGTCGATGAGCCGACGCAGGGTAGGCCACCCCTCGCCACCCACAAGCACCAGCGGACGCTGAGGCCACGAGAGGTCCAGCATCCTCATGCAACAAGCAACTGGCCGCTGACGCCTGGAGCTCATAAGAAGGCGGCCACCCAGCCAAGCTGTGCACCAGGCTGTGGCACGGAATGGCAGCTGGGGAGCAAAAGTCGCACGTGCAGCTTTCCACATCACCACCACAATTATTATTTATCAATTAAAACACACCTATAAATTGGCTCTTGCACTCCACAAAAATTTTAAAAATGGGACAGTTCCTGACCACACACGTGCAACTAAACAACGCTCTGCAGAGGGAAGGAGGAAGTGGAAAACAAGCCAACTTGAGTATCAGCTCTTGATGTTTAGACTAGTTTACCCCCAAAATTAAGCCTACCCATCCGTGGTTTTTTTCGGGCTCCAGCACAATTTGAGCACAGAAGACGCGCTTGTTGCTCAACTCACTGATTTGCCATTGCCAAGATGGCCAGGAGAGCATCTCCAGCAGAGCACAAGGAAGGGGCAGGTCATGAAATAACCGTCAGAAGGGTCCACGCACGGGGAGGCCAACCTGTGGATAACCTGCCCCCCAACACCCCGTGACGATCAGCCCTTGGAAGGTTGTGCACCGCTGGTGACATCCGCACCGCCATTCTTCACTTCATTTCCACACCTCGGCACAGCCAAAGCTCCCTCGGGGCCCCGCGTTGCAGGGAGGGTGGCCTGCAACTCCAGCCGAGCACAGCACATGGCCCGGGGGGCCAGAGGGAGGGCCAGAAGGAGCAGCCGGGCAAAGCAGCAACGATGTCACGTCCAGGAAGTCACTCTGGAGGGCAGTGGTCACCCTCAGCCACACCCGGGGACACACACTCGACACCCTGCAGAGCACCCGGAAGGCATGCACGTGGCACACACACACACGAGTGCCCGGGGTGCCTGCAGCCACGGGCCACGCCTGCTTGCCTTCTCTCTGACCTGTGCCAGGCCACAGCAGGCAAACACCCCCACGAGAGCTCTGGCCGGCTGGCAAGGTCAGGCAAGGCAGAGCAAGCCAGGGGCAGGTAGGGGCTGGCCGTGGCCGGCAGGGCAGAGCTGTGCCCAGCGGGCTGCACTGCATCCCATGGCCCACTCTGGCCTACAAGCAGGAGGAGCCCTCCTGTGCTGGTCCTCCTTGAGTGCCTTCCTCGGGGCACAATCCTGCTCGGCTGCTCAGACAGGTAGGCAGAGGATGAGTGCCAGGCCCACAACCCCAAGGCGAACCCTTGCTCTTTGGCCAGGGGAGTCACGCAGGCCCCAGCCGCCTCCCACTTGCTCAGCATTATCTGTTTATGCGATATAGGAAGCAAAGTCCATCGTTCAATGGTGGAGCTCCTACCCTGCATGCAAAAGGTGCCAGGTTCAGCCCAGGTCAGGCAGGTAAAACTGCTGCCTGAATCCCTAGAGAGCCGTTGCTGCCAGCCTGTGTGGACACTCTTGGGTGAGATGGGTTAAGAGACGGCCTTGTTGTAAGGCAGCTGCGAGGTTCCTAACCCTCCCAAAACACTTGAGACGGAGCAGGCTAAACATCGAAGCTGCAACAGCCAGTCGACCTCGGGGACCAAAAGAGCACTCCATCCCATGAATTCCTGCAGGAGAGGACAGCTGCCACCCTTTCCAGACCGCGGCCCCCTCCCCACCCTCATCTCCACCCATCCCGTCCCCCACTCACCAGGATATCAGCACTTTCTCTGCGAAGGGGAAGCTGCTCCAGCCGATCCAAGGAGGGGGTGCAGGGGAAGGACGTGCTGACCCCCGTGGGATGCAGGATGGGCAAACTCAAGGACCGGAAGTCCTTCACGGCCTGTTCCACTTTCAGTTCATCCCCAGGTTTGGCTGGAATGCAGGAGACAGAGAGGTTGATCAGCACCTCAATCCTGGCCTGGCTAACGATGATCCACCAAGCGATAGTGGTTGGAGCGCTGGAGTGGGGACCCAGGAGTCCAGGCCTGAGGCCCCACCTGCCTATGCAGCTCACTGGGTGACTCTGGGCCAGCCACTGACACTCAGACTGACCCCCCTCACAGGGTTGTTGTGAGCTTCCATTTAGCCTGAAGTGCCTGATCCTGCCTAATCTTGGAAGCTAAGCAGGGTCAGACCTGGTTGAAACCTGGATGGGTGACTAGAGTCCTGTATTGAGCAGGTGGGTGGCCCCACTGGCCGGCTAGGCTGCTTCCAACTGTGTGCTTCTAGGATTCTAATACAAAAATGGAAATAAGGGAGGGGGCCCTGTAAACTGCTTTGGGTTTCCTGCAGAGAGAAGAAAGGTGGGGACAAAGGATGAACAAAACCGATCCTTTGGGGAGGCCACCCAGTGCGTCCTGCCTGGCCTGGTGGAATCAACATCTGACTTTATTTAAAAAATTATGTGCCAACTCCTTTGCTTAAAAGACTATTACACAACATACAACCATTTAAACGCCCCCCCCCCGGAACACCTGCCGTGCCACGCCGTCACCGCTGCCGCTGCCGCCGGACCTGAGGCGCACCGCTGAGCTGGGAGCCAGCTGACGCCGCTCCCGCGGCCACCGCTGGGCCACCCCAGGCACGGAGGACGCCAGAGCCGCCATCTTGCCACCGGGCGGGTTTCCGCGCCCCTCCCTGCTCCCCCCCCCCCCCCCGCCGGCGTCAGTGAGAGCAATGCCGGATTGGGGCGGGGTGTGCGGGCGGGCGCCGGCTTAACCCACCGGCCAAAGGGCGGTTGCCGCCGTTTGTGGCTGTGCGGGGCTGGGCTGGCGGGGGACTAGGTCGGTGGGGGAAATTTTAATTTTGTATTGGGGGGGGAAATGGGGAGTTTTTGATTGTTTTAAAGTTTTATCGTATTTTAATTTGTTTTATGGAGTCGTTGCTGGCCATGTCGACGCTTGAGTTTCCGGGGGAGTGCGTGGGCGCTGCCATTGGGGTGGTCATGGGCAATGGGCGTTAACAGCGGTGGGGGCTTAACGTGTCCGCGTAGAAGAAGGAGGGACAGATGGCTGACACCTGTCCCTCCTTCTGGTTCTGCCCCCAGCCAGAGGGTTCCAGGTTGTCTTGTCAACCGCCCCTCGGGTCTGACGGTGCTGCTGCTCAATGCCAGGTCGGTCAATAATAAATCTTCCCTCATCCATGACTTGTTTGTGGATGAGGGGGCCGACCTGGCTTGCATAATGGAGACCTGGGCGGGAGGGGGGGGCGATGTCGCCCTCTCAAATGTGCCCGTCCGGGTATCTGGTTCAGCACCGTCCACGCCTGGAGGGAAGGGGAGGGGAGGGGGGTAGCTTTGGTTTACCAAGCCTCCATTTCCCTCATGGGACTTCCAGTCCCTTTGAGGCCAGGGCTGGAGTGCCTCTACTAGGTGTTGGGCGACCAAGACAGATTGGGGATTCTGTTGGTGTACCGTGCACCCTTCTGCCCGACAGTCTCCCTGCCTGAGCTGACGGAGACCGTCTCGGACCTGGTGTTGAGGACCCCCAGGATGTTGGTCCTGGGGGACTTCAATCTCCATGCCGAGGCTAGTCTGACCGGGGCGGCTCAGGACTTCATGGCCTCCATGACGGCCATGGGGCTGTCTCAACATGTCACAGGCCCGACCCATGAACGTGGACACACTCTGGACCTGGTTTTCTCGACGGGGCAGGAAGAGGGTGGTCTGAGGGTGAGGAATTTATGTCTGACACCCCTGCCATGGTCAGAGCACTTCCTGGTGAGGTTTATGCTCGAGAGCGGCCTCTCCCTCTGTAAGGGTGCGGACCCGATTGTGTGGGTCCACCCCCGGAGCCGGATGGATCCGGATGGATTCCTGAAGGCCCTGGGGGAATTTCTGGCTGACAAGACTGGTGCTCCTGTCGAGGCTCTGGTCGAACTGTGGAACAGGGAGATGACCAGGGCTGTTGACACGATCGCTCCTAAGCATCCTCTCCCGCTGGGCAGAGCCCACTCTTCCCCTTGGTATACATCTGAATTGCGGGCGATGAAGCAGGCTGGGAGACGGCTAGAGCGTAGGTGGAGGAGATCACGGGATGAATCTGACCGAACACACTTAAGAGCCCATTATTGGGCCTATGCTGCGGCGGTGAGGAAGGTGAAAAAGAAATTCTTTTCTGTTTCCATTGCCTCCTCAAAATGCCGTCCGGCGGAGCTTTTTCGAGTGGTACAAGGCCTGGTTCGCCCTGGCCCTAAGAAAGATCTGGTTCCACCCTTGAAGGCCCGCTGTGGAGCGGGTGGTGGCGGGACAACTCCAAGCACTCTTGGCTGAAACTGATTATCTGGACCCATTTCAGTCCGGCTTCAGACCCGGGTACGGTACTGAATCTGCCTTGGTCGCCCTGTACGATGACCAGTGCAGGGAGAAGGACAGGGGGAGTGCGTCCCTGTTGGTTCTTCTGGACCTCTCAGCGGTTTTCGATACCATCGACCATGGTATCCTTCTGGATAGGCTAGCGGGATTGGGGGTCGGAGGCACTGCTTTGCAGTGGTTCCGCTCCTATCTCAATGGCCGATTCCAAAAGGTGGTGCTGACAGACTATGGCTCTGCACCATGGCAGCTATGCCATGGAGTACTGCAGGGGTCCATTTTGTCCCCTTTGCTGTTTAACGTCTACATGAAACCGCTGGGAGAGGTCATCAGGAGGTGTGGGCTGCGGAATCATCAGTATGCTGATGATACCCAGATCTGCCTCTCATTTTCCACCAATCCAGGTGAGGCAGTGGCTGTGCTGAACCGGTGCCTGGCTGAGGTAATGGGCTGGATGAGGGCCAATAAACTGAAGCTCAATCCAGACAAGACGGAGGTCCTGTTGGTTGGCGGATCGGGCTTCGGTGAGGGTGAATTGAACCTAGTCCTGAATGGGGTTGCACTCCCTCTTAGGGACAAGGTCCGCAGCTTGGGAGTGCTCCTCGACCCAGAGCTTTCACTGGAAGCTCAGGTGACAGCGGTGGCGAGGAGCACTTTCTTTCAACTTCGGCTGATCCATCGGCTGCGCCCCTACCTGGAGTACGACTGCCTGGCGACAGTGACACACACGTTGGTGACTTCCTGCCTTGACTTCTGTAACGCACTCTACGTGGGGCTACCCTTGAAGATGGTCCGGATACTTCAATTGGTTCAAAATAGAGCTGCCAGGCTGCTGACGGGGACGGGGCGTTCTGTTCACATGACTCCAGTCCTCCGTCAGCTTCACTGGCTTCCCATTGAAGTCTGGGCCCAATTCAAGGTGTTGGTGATGACCTATAAAGCCCTAAACGGCTTGGGTCCTGGCTACCTGAAGGAGCGCTTACGTCCATATATGCCCGACTGCCCCCTGAGATCTGTGGGAGAGGTCCTTCTCCGGGAACCCTCCGTGAAGGAAATTAGGAGGGTGAGTACTCGGAGGAGGGCTTTCTCTGCGCTGGCACCTAAGTTATGGAATGTGCTCCCCAGAGAGGTCCACCTGGCGCCGTCGTTATTTGTTTTTCGGCGCCAGGCAAAGACCTTTTTATTCAAATGTCATTTTAACTGTTAATAGTATTTATTTATTTTACTCTTTGGCCAGGGCAACTTAATTTATACTGTTAATTTATATTATTTTAATGAAGTTTATTTATGTTTGTGAGCCACCCCGAGGCTTCAGCGAATGGGGCGGCATAGAAATTTTCTAAATAAATAAATAAATAAAAACACTTTTAAAAGCCAGAAACTTTAAAAAGGCAAAACTTTCACAATCCTGCACATCTTCAGACTGGAAATAAAGTCTTAGAACTCCCAACACGGACTTTTTGCAGGACTGTTTTCTGTCCAACCATACATAGGATTCCACCCCACAAACATCAAATTTTAAAGGGTGCCTAAAAGTATGTGCCAAGCGATGCTGACAACCACGGTGCGTGGGAGAGCGCAGCTGATAGCTTGGGGTGATGCCGGAGGAGGCAGGGTCTACACACGGGCCTGTCCGGCAGGCTCCTAGCGAGGCAGGGGCCCCCTCCATGGCCGGGCCCTGAGCCGTCTGGGGCACCGAAGGGGAAGGCCGGTGCCGTGAAGGGGTGCCGGCAGCGGCTGGCAGCCAGTGCGGTGGCCCCGCTCCTCCCTGTTGCCGCCTGTGCCCAGGGGAAGCCTTCAGGCGCTCTGCGAGGGAAGCCCCACCCGGAGGGCATCACAGTCGCCTAAACGTGAGGCAGCCAGGCTGTGGATAAAAAGTCACGTTGGGTCAACTCAAGAAAGCGGCATCAAGCGAAGTTATGCAAACACACCATGTGCCTCAGCCGCCGCCCAAAAATCCAGAGTGCAGGATCAAGGAGCATCCCCTTGCTGTGGGCCTGATCCATCAGAGATGTGCAACCTCTTCCGGAAAAGGCCAAATGCCAGTCCCCGATTCAGCCTCGTTACTGACTAACAGCTCTTCTGGCGTATCTCCATTTAACCCCAGAACCATTGCCTCATGATTCTGCTGCCCTCTGCTTTCTGCTAGGAGCAGAAATAACAGAATCAGGGAGCTGGAAGGGGCCAGAGGGCCACTGGGTCCAGCCCTCTGCTCAGGGCAGGACTCCAAACTAAACTGTCCCTCTCGGAGGGCTGCCCAGCTGCCTCTGGTGTGGGAGACCCCCAACCTCCCGGGTCATCGGATCCACTCTCATGCTGCTCTCACAGGCAGGAGGCTCTTCCCGATGTCCAGCCGGGATCTGCTTCCTGTCTCTTGAGCCCTAACTTGCCATTTGTCCCTATGGAATTTCATTCTGTTGAGTTCAGCTCAGCTCTCCAACCTGTCAAGATCCCCTTGAATCTTCTTTCTCTCTTCCAGGACATTAGCTCTCCCATCAGTTTTGTCTCACCTGCAGATTTAGTAAGTGTTCCTCATCCGAGTCGTTAATAAAAGTGCTGATGAGCACCAGGCCTAGGACTGCGCCCTGTGCTACCCCACTCCCCAGTTGCGAAGGTGCCATGGATGAGCGCTCTCCGAGTCTGATCCTGAGCCAATCTATCCACTCGATGGCTGCCCCGTCTAGCCCACTTTGAGCAAGTTTGCTAATCGGGGGATCGTGGGGTCCTTTGCCAAAAGCAGTGCAGTCCGGATGGGTTATGTCTGCAGCACTCCCACAGTCCCTTGGGAAGGTTACCCAGTCAAATCAGACTAGCCTGGCAGGCTTTGCTCATGATCAGCTGACTCCGTGCCAACCCTTGATTTTAAAGTTTCCCTCTCTCCTTTACAGCCTGCCTTGGATCCATGACCATTGAGAAGAGAGCACAATGCATACCTGAGCTACCTGTCAGGCACAGAATGACCTTTCCCCAACTTGGCCTCCCCCAGGTGGTCCATGCCACAAGTCCCATCATCACTAGTGAGTCATGCTGGCTGAGAATGATGGGATGTGTTCACCAAACACCTCTGGTGAGCCCCCTCTTGGGAGAAGGCTGACCCAGAACCAGGCAGCAACCCACCTTTTACACGTAGGTAGTGTCCCCCAAACCGGAATGCCTCAAAGTGGAGCGAGAGCGGCGTGTTGGACTGATCCAGGTAAATGTCCACTTGGGACATGTCGATCCCTTTCCTCTCAAAGACCGGCAGCAGCACTTCCCTGGGTTAAAACAGAAGGCGTGGAAAGAAAATAGGCAGGCAGCTCGGCCAATCCAGACACCCTGGAGTGCGCCTGCAGGCGGTGCCCCAAGGGCGGGATGGCCGGGCCGCCACCCCAGGGAGCCATCTGCCAGCTCCCTCCCTCCCTCCCTCCCTATGTGCACCAAACATACGTGCATGTATGTTGCAGTCCTGCACAGTGCTCTGCGTAAAAAAGGTTTCCACAACCGCAGGCCAAACGCCAGAAACTAGCTTCTGGAGAGGCTTGGGGAAGGCGCTGCTCCAGCTTCCTGTCGATTCAGTGTCCCTTGCTAACACGACGCCCAGGCACTGAGTGCTGCTGGTGCTTCACTGGGAGGTGGATGAAACCGGAGATCGCAGCGGGGTTACTGCGCATTTCTGAGCAGGCGCAGCCTGTGAGCGCGGTGGGGGCAGCGGGGACTAGCCAGGTGCTTCTAGGCTCGCTGGTGCCTCTGCTCCCAGGAGAGGAGCATGAGCCCTTCTCGTGGCCACAGCAAGGAGATGCTACTTACAGAACTTTCCTCCAGGAACGGCTCAGCCACCCCGCCCCCGGCAATGACATTATTCTGGCACCACTTGAAACTTACTTAGTTGTGTGGGTTGGTTGGCTGGTTATATTTCTATCCCATCTTTTTCCTTCCAAGCAACTCAAGGGGGCTTAAGGGCTCTATTTGATTTTGGATAGCTGGCTGACAGAATGATCGTGCTGATGGGAGGGTGTTTTTATTGATTTTCCATCGTGAGTTTCAAAAATCACAACAAAACCAAAAATGCTTAATATCTGAGGTGTTAGACTCCTGACTTTAATGCGCTGTTCACACGATGTGTGCACTGATTCCTGGAGGCCGCTGGCTGCCCTGAGCGCTTTGTGGCGGGGAGCAGAGTGGGCACCCACCAACCAGCAAAGGAGCCCCTGAGCAGAATGCTGCACCAGGCGGGCCTGGGACAACCTGCTCCCCAGGTGGCCCTCCAGCCCTGGGCCTCCGCAGACCCCAGGCCAAGGTGCCAGCTGCCTGCTTACCCCAGGGACCGCTTCTTCATGGCCGGCACGATCTCCGTCTCGAGGTCCACACTCAGGTCAAACTTCAAGGTGAAGCACTCCTTGCTGGGATCCTGAGGGAGAAATGCGGACGCTCGGGCGGGGGCACCGGCCAAGCCTGCCCCAGAATCTCCCTTACCGAAGCCAGAAAGAAGGTGCCGCTGGAGGGAAAGAACAGGCCCAGAGACAGACCCCCAAGCCCTCCGCACATGGGCGGCCCTCTCGCTCGGGGAAGGCTAAGTCGTGGGACACCATGCAGGCAGTGCGCATCTCGGAGCACAATGTCCTTTGGCCAGAAGCTGCCTGTGAGCAGGAGGTGGGGCCCAGCATGTGGTGCGCGACACGTCCACATGCATGCGGGCACTTGCATGGCGCCCACACCCATGCATGCTGCAGTCCATTGAAGCAACCCCCCACCATAACACTTTCTGAAACTGCAGGCACAGAGGTGACCTGAGGCTGGAGTCAGGCTTCGGACTTCTGGACTTCTTGCCTCTGAAACCAGATGCTCAATTTAGCTGTGAAGGCAAACAGCCACTGCACCAATCCTGTCAGGAGGCCCTCAGTGGAGCTGAATGGCTAGGGGCCCAAGTTTAAAACCTCCTGCCTGTCTTTGCTGCAGGAACAGAGGGGCCTATGCCAGGGAGGACTGTGGTCTCTATTCACCAGAGTGGCCTGGGGGCTCCAGGGGAACCCTACCAGAAAAGCCCACCCCTTCATGTTGGCCAGACTCTGAGCTGGTTCAAACATCACAGCTGCAAAGCAGGGGTTGTTTAACCCATGATCTGCAGAATCTCTCACCACCTGTGAGCCGGTTTCTGAAATCAATCTCCATCAGACCACACAGGGTGGTGAACATGATGTGCAAACTCAGAGTACTGCAAGCGACAGCAGGAAAGGACCAAAACGTGCCTCCCTTACATCAGTGTGTCTCCGCCTGGCCTTCTTCTTGGGCAGTTTCAGCGCTGTGCTCTTCCGGTCCCTGCAAGAGACGGAGGGATTAAGAGTCAGCCCTCCATGAAGCCCTCGCCAGCCAGCCCCACAAGGCTTGGTGTTTGCCTGTTGAATTTCCATGCTGCCAATTGGCAAATGCCTTCTGGTCGCTTTACAGCCATTGAGAAACAACTGCCACAAGATAACAAAAGAAGTACAATGCTAAAAACATCAAGGTAATACAGCAGTCAACACATTGGAAAGGTTTGCAACATCACATGTTTGCAACTGCTGTGACCTCTGGCCCTTTCCTCTGCCTCAGCTTGCATCGACCAGCGCCGGCTGGAAGAGGAAGTTCCTAAGCCGTTGCCTAGATCTTGGCAGTGATGGCAGCAGACAGAGCTCCCTGGCAGGGCGCTTCGCAGACTACCAGAAAGCCTCCTTCCCTGGAGGTCACCTGCGGCACCCACAGAAAAGCCTCCAAAGAGGAGCTGAGGAGTCCAGCAGAGACTTCCGCCAGGGATGTTTCCCTGCACCACCACTCAGAGCAGGGAAGTTTCTGCCTCACCTGTTCCCGAATGCCCTAAGCACCTTTGCAGAACTCTCACCAAGCCACGCATTTAAGCGCAGCATGTGAGGAAGCTCCCCAGCGAAGCATGGACTGGGGGAGGGGGACCACCGGTTGAACTCTCTCTCGTGAATTCTCTCCACACTCGGAGCATCGCCTGGTCAGGCTAGGACTTCCTCCCTGATATGCACACCTTCCAGATGAAGAGGGGTTTCCCTGAATTGCGTGTCCCTGGGCTGCCCCATCCTGCACTCACCCTTTTCCGTCAAGCAACCCATCCTCCTCCTCTTCCACGTCTGAGGCAGGGCTGGTACGTGGCGGACACGACCGGGTGGAGATGTTCCGTGCAAGTATAGAACCTGGAAGACAGAAGGAGGAAAGTTACCATCGTAGCTAGACAGATCTATCCCGGCCAGTGGCCATGGTGGTTAATGGAGCCTCCAACTTCAGCCACAACCTACCTTTGGGTAGGAGAAAGTGGGGACACAAAGCTGAGACAGCTCATGTCTTCCTGGCCCTGATGGTTGACGTCCAGCAAACAGGGTGCTGGGAAAAAATCCAGAAGGATTCTTCTGACGTCCTTATTTTCCAGGGCAGTAGGAGGATTCCAGGCAGCAGCTGCCAGGTGGGCAAACAGCAGAAAGAGGTCACTGCTGCCAAGCCCGCCTGCCATCCCATCAGCTTTCCGGGGGCACCCCAGGGCCACTCCGCTGCCTGCCGCCAGACTCTGCACTTGGCGAGCCCCTCGGCCTGCCCCTGCTGTCCTGGGGTCTCCGGCATTCGCAGGGTTGACCTTGCAGGCAGTGCCCAAAGCACCGCATTTGGGCTGGCTGCTGAGGCCGAAGCAACAAGCAACAGGAACCTTTTTGCTGTATTTTGGGAATCAGCAATGAGCCTGCAAGGCCACCCAGCCAGGGATGTGGCTGACGGCAAGGGAACCGTGCACGAGGGAGCCTGGCCTTTCTGGGCGCGGCTTCCTGGAGCCGCTGGCAGCCACGCCAAGCCGCCTCCGCCCTGCCTGTGGTGCTCCACACGGGCCGCACACACCTGTGCACCCCGCCCACGCCACGTGCCTCACCTTGGGGAGGGAGGTCGAAGCGGATGTGCCCATCAAAGTGCATGGCGCTGTGGAAGCGCCCGTCACACGCGTCGCACAAGTGCAGGGGTCCGCTGCGGTTCAGCTGCTGGCACTCGGCATGGTGGCAGACCTGCAGGGCCCGGGAAGGGGAAGCAGGGAGCGGCTGAGCACACGGGGGCCACGCCCCCTGCGCCCCCGCGCCTCTCACCGTGGGGAGGGGCTCTGCCCACACGCCTGCTTCTGTGCTCCGTGGGGCAGAGGCTTGCTCTCCTTCCCGTCTGGTCCTTGGCACCCAACCTGTTCCCTCGCACTGCCAGGCAACTGATTCGGGGCCCAGGATCGCTGGACAGAAATTGGCATGTGCTGCATGGACACTGAGAAATGATTACTAGGACGACTTAAATTTCACAGCAGGCAAAACCAGACAATTAGTTTCCCACCCAAATCCTGAGATAACAGCCCGTTGGCTCTCAAGGAAGGTTTTTCCTAAGTTTAATGACCACAAGGGGCTGATCTGGGGAGCTTCTGTGCACTGGGAGGGTGGGAGTAGCCCCCCTCCTCCCAAACTGTGTCCCACCCTGGAAATTCCCACCTCACGGGCAACAGAACAAGCCTTCCAACAGCACCAGCTGAGGTGTGTTTTTCGAGGCTTCACAGCCACGCCTGGCAGCGTGTGTGCCTGCGTTCTGAGCACATGAGGATCACCCCTTCCCTGCTTAGCTGTGATCCCCCCGCAATCCCTCCTTCCTCCCCACATATATTTCTGGCAATTACACTGGGGACAGGGTCCACTGGCAGCAACTGCCACTCAGAGCTCGTGGAAACAGAACGGAAGCCCTGGAAACCCACAGGCACCCGGACTCGACCGACTCTGCCTCCAGGCGTCCTGAGCTACCACTCTCGCAATGCCGGGCCGCATGTCCTGCTGGCTGGCGCCGAAATCCAAAATGCATGGAAGGTCCCAACTTGGGGGAGTACGACCTAAACTGCCTGCCCCCCTGCAGCAGGAGAGACAGAGAGACGGACATATCCCACGTTCGAACCCTTTTCCATGTGAAGGAAGCAATCCTCACAGCCGCCTTGAGGGTACCCTCTCCTGCCTGCCACCTGCGGTCTGTCCTTGAGCTCGTTTTCACCTCTGATGGCTGTCTGCATTTTCTCAAAGTGACCAGCAGCTGGCACGGACAAGCATTTCACTGCTCAAGTTTAACGCATACAGGATGACACCCCATTTTGGCAAAAAGGAGCCACCTTTAGGGAGTCTCTGTTAAATAATCATAATTCAAGATGCTAATAAATTCAGCAAGAAAGCTGAAGGGAAAACAGCAGCATTTGGTTTGTTTTACACATGGCTGCACGAAGCATCATAGGAGGGGGTGCCTCCAGGCCAAGAGAAGGACTACCTCCAGCAAGATGCCAGCGACTGACAGCATGTGGAATGTCTTACAACCAAAACCGTGTTATTCTAAAACAGGGGTCCTCAAACTACAGCCTGAGGGCCGGATCCGGCCTGCCATGGCCATTTATTCGGCCCGCCTCAGAGGTTTTCAACGCGCCTGCCGCCACCCGCCTTGCCCCCCACGCTGGGAGGCAACGGCTTGCTCGCGAGGAGATCATTTTGGACTCGCTGGGAGAAAATGCTCTCCAAGCGAGCAAGCACTGCATTGCACATGCCCGCCCCCGACTCGCCTCGCCTCGCCTTGCCTCCCCTCCCCTCGCCGCGCGCCTCCGCTTCTGTGCTGGCCTGCACACCCCGCCGGCACTACTTTTCCAGCCCACACCCGGTGCCGGCACCTTTCAACTGGCCTCATGGTTGAAAAGGCAGAGGACCCCTGCTCTAAAAGGCTGCTGCCCAGCTCACGGGGGCACTCTGCACGACACCAGCAGCGCTTGATGGCACAAGCTGAGGCGTGCTCGGCCAGACAGGCGCCCTGCAGCCTCAGCAGGTCCCAGCCGGACCTTTTCCGGCCTGAACCTCCTTAGGATCGCACCCCTGATCAAACAATTTAAATTCCATCAGGCTGCAGCAAGGACGGGGCAGCAGGTCGGGGAGCGACCGTCATGAGTTCCTCTTCTTGGACCGCCTTCATTCCAGCCGGCTGCTAAAGGAACTCTACAGCTAAGGGCCAGGGCCGCTTCCCTCTCCCCACTTCCTCTCCTTTTGTGGCACGTCTTTCCAACTGCAAGCATGCAGGGAGGGGCATTTCTGGCTAAAGAACAAAGCAAACAAGGAAAACATGCTTTAGACAAACAGTGTCCGACACATTATAAGACTGCTTATTTCAAAGTTCATTGCTCAACTCTGAATTATATTGCTGTATATGGCTCTGGTCTATTGCTCTCAGCAGGTTTCAGAGTGGCAGACAGAAGAAAGCTACGACAGATAAAAAAATAAGAACAAGACATGAAAATCCCTAAAGCCAAGGCTGGTCAGCAAGGGAAGCTTCCTAGCGCACACCCGCCTTCCTCCTCCTGCCACCGGGGTTTGCAACTGGATGGGGAAATCAGGCTCCGGCTCCGGCTCCGGCTCCTTCTGTGGCAGGGTGCAGGGAGGGCACTGCAGGCGGCCCACAAGGGCTGGAGCCGGAGAGCTGTCTGTCTGTCTGTCTGTCCGTCGGCTGAAGAGCCGAGTCTCCAGCCCAGCACCAGCCACACAGCAGCTCTTGACGCAGGAGCGGCCCCGACAGCCTCCTTGGCATCTGCCCCCCGGCCAGCAGGCTTCATGCCCACACGTGCTGCACCGCCGGTCGCGCTCCCCCCAGATCCTGCCTGCCTTCTCTGTGCTTTGCTTACTCCAGCCGCCGCCCCCCCCCCCGTCCCCTTCTACAAACAAAGGAATCCTGAGGAGAAGGCCCTTCAGTCACTCGCACCAAGAGAGATTTCACAGCACGCGTCTGTGTCCATTAGCAGGCAGCCACTCGCGCGTTTTAGCCCTGCGGGCCTGATCCCAGGCCTTCTTGGTACCCAGCACCGGATGCATTCGGCCCTCTGCCTGCCTACCTGCCTGCCTCCTTCGCAGGCTGTGCTCAAGCAGCTTGTGTATTAGACATCCTTGCCTAAAAAAGCCCCAAAGACTCTTACAGCATGGGCACATTCATCATTACATTGACAAAGTTTCTCTGGTCAGATGGCAAACCATCAAATACCACAATGCCATAGAATTCCAGAGTTAAACCTCCACAGATTTAAGGCCACAGCTAAAAACATCAGAAATGAGTAGGACCTGGTAAGACGGCTAGACCAAGAAGCCCCATCAGCTGCCATCAGGAGCCTGGAGGTGGAGGAGAGTCTCACTCTGGCACCAGAAAGACGACCATGCTGGCCCCAGCAAACGTCCTGAGGGAGACCGTCCAGAGTCAGAGGCAGTCACCAAGGTCACCTCTCCCCAAGCCTCCCTCAGCTACCAGGTGCGGGTTCACACCGAGAGAGGCGCCAGCTGGGTACTGCGATCGTGCATCGGGCAGGGCTTTATCTGTAACCACCAGCACCTTGCATTGGCTTGGAAACAAGCGGGCAGCAGTGCAAGTGGGCCAGGACTGGGGCAGTACAAGGAGGGCCCGCCCCCGTCACCAGCCCAGCTGCCGCGACTCGCATGAGTGCCCGTGCCTGAGCCATCTCCAGAGGCAGGCCCGCTGTGCAGCACAAGGAGGCGATCAACCCGGAGGCAGCTGGAGGGGCGGCTGGAGCTCCTGCAGGCGGGGCCCTCTCCCCAGCCGGAAAGGCAGGCCGCCCGTGCCTCCCTGGTGGTATCCTGAGCCCCGGCAGGAACGCTGTCGGCAGGGGCACAGCTCCTTGCAGGCTCACAGGCCAAGCTGCTGGCCCAACGCACCTGCCCCTCCCCACAAAGGAAGGGCACGTCTGCCAGAGAACGGAGTTCCTTCCAGCAGGCAAGAGGGAGCTCCGTGGTCGTGCACCGGGCTGCACCGTGGCCCTGGAGGTGGCCCCAGCGGCACACCAATCCTCACCCCCAAAAGTACTCAAGCCTGCCCCAAAATGCTGCCGCTGGTGTTCCCTGCCCCACAGTGGGAAAGGAGGAATGGCAAAAGGGGGGCCGTCTTTTGTCCGAGGCCCCAAAGGGATGGGCACGCGGAGCTGCTCTTTCCTGGGTCAGACTGGCAGCCCTCGCAACCCAGTCCCTTCCAGGCCAGCCGGCAGCAGCAGGCTCAGGCGGCCTCCCGTGGTGGAACAGTTGCCGTGGAAGGGGGGGCCCCAACAGCAAGGCGGGGTGGGCTGACAGAGTATGCCCCTCCTAACCGGGACAGGCTGCGCCGGGGCGGGGGCCCGTTGTCCTTCACGGGAACACCGTCCAGGCAGAGATGAAGAGCACTGCGAGTGAAACTGCAGCTGCTCTGGGCAGCGTGGGGCAGGGGGGGGCAAGACAATCCCCAAGGTCCCATCCAGCACTAGGGCAAGGGCAGCCCAGTGTTGCTCTTGGAGCAATTTTCTCTAAAAGAGGCAGCAATGGAACTTCATCTTAAACATGCAGAGAGAGAGAGGGAGAGGGAGAGGGAGAGGGAGAGGGACTGGAGGAATGATGTCCGGAACAGCCAGCTGGAATTCCTGCTCAGCCAGGAAGGCTTCCTGGGTGAAGAAGCACCGCCTGGCTTGGAGGGGGCTTGTGACCATTACAGAGGCAAGCTCTGGAAGCCCCGGCTCCACAGCACATAACAGACAGGCAGATGCATCTCCAACAGGGGGCAGCACAACACAACTATTTGCACTCCTCAGACCCAAAAGATTTGGAAGTATTAGAAATTCATCTGCTTCCAGGGCTGCATTTTGAAGGTGACATTCAAATTTCATGTTACCATTTTGTGTGTAAACTTCTGCCTCTCAGTTTGAAAACTGAGCCCATTGGGCTTCTTTGAGGTTTCACCAGCTCCAGTTTGTATTAAGTCTCATAAGCTGTCCAGAAATCCTAAATGGTACCTGTGCTCTTTATCAAATATTGTTCATTAAGATATGCCCTTGCAGGTCAGATACAAATACAGTTCAATTACTCAGCACCATCATTCAACACAGATTAAATACAGGCATGTATAAACATCCTAATATCTTAGCTACATAACTCAAAGAGTATCCTGCACATATCTGGGCAATCAAACATCAAGAGAATAATTGACACCAAGA